CTCTGGTCTGATTCTGCAAGATCGTAAAGTTGACTGCACGACTCCGGAATTTCTCTGTTGGTGCATGGTCTGCTGCTCTCCCAACAGCAGCACAGGGATCGGGGAAGTCAGAATTCTCAGGAGCGCCATAGCGAGGAGTTCACCAGACCCACACCGTGTTCCCCGACACCGTGTTCCCCGACACCGTGTTCCCCGACACCGTGTTCCCCGACACCGTGTTCCCCGACACCGTGTTCCCCGACACCGCTCCCACTCCCTCCTGGTGGCCGACACCAGACGGCTCGGCACTCACTCCTCTGGCTTTTCCTGAAATCCTAGCCACAGGATTCCACAGTGTTCCCCTTTGCCAAAGGACGGTCCGTGCCAGGTGCTGGGCGGGGGACTTGCGCAGGTGCTGCGGGCAGGACGCCGGGGCTCAGACACGCAGAGTCTGGCCGGCGAGACTGAGGCTGTTCGGTGGGAGGAACCGGGGACCCCGATGGCTCCTTGTGGCTTTGTGGGGGGCTGCAGGTCTCAGGCAGCATGCCCGGCACAGGGTGGCAGCAGGGCAGGCCGGGGGGGGGCAGTGGTGACTGAGCAGCGTGGCCACGCACTGCAGGCAGATCTGTCCCATTTGAATGTTACTCTGGGACACTCTACCTAGTTGTTCCCCCCCAATGAGCTAATGTTGCTGGTCTATAAGTTGTTTTATTTGATGTGAACAGGACCTACTAGGAACATCTTGTAGGTACCCCTTTTTCCTTTCTACCCATCAAAAATTTGGTATCCCTAGAAAAAAATTATCTGAAAATTATCTGACCCATCCTGGATGCCTCCATTTATGGCCGGTCCCAGTTTTGATGACTTAGAACATCTTCATAACCACTGCTGGGGGAGGCCTGTCTGTTTCCGAGCATCCCTGGCTCGTATCTGTCCTCCTTCCGGCAAGAGCTCACGGCTGTTCTTTAAACCATTCACCCCTTCTCTGCTCCCCGACTCTGGGCTGTGAGCGTAGTGTCCCCTCAGGCTGGCACAGGCTCATCACCTGGGGACCAGAGCATTGCACTCCCCACTGGCCTCCGTGATTGTTTCAGGGACGGGCCAGTGACCCGGTCAGAGCCACCGAGACGTGCTTAGGGGACCTCGGCCGACCTTGAAAGAGAGGCCCTTGTTATTGCACTTGCTCTCGGAGGAGGGAAGCCTCGGGCTGCTGGCACCCCCTTTGTTACCAAAACAACCCGCAAGACAAAACTGTGCCTACAATGAACTAAATGTCTATGTACCCCCTAAATTCACATGTAGCAGCCCTAACCCCCAACGCGATGGTGTGAGGGGATGAGGCCTTTGGCAGCTGATTAGGCTCAGATGAGGTCACGAGGGCGGAACCCCCACGCTGGGACCGGTGCCCTTGTCAGGGTCACCGGAGCTGCTTCTCTCCATGCACGCACACAGAGAGGCCACCCGAGTGCAAAGCGAGACGATGACAAGGCAAGAGAAGGGACCTCAGAAGGAAATCAGTCTTGTCACCACCTCGGTCTTGGACTTTCCAGTGTCTACAACTGTGAGAAATAAATTTCTATTGTTTAAGCCAACCAGGCTACGGAATTTTGTTATGGCCGCCCAAGCTAAGTCAGTGCCTGAGGATGAAACTAACAGAGGGGAAAGTAGAGGCGAGAGGCAGAAAGAAAATGCACTCTGATTATTAGGACCCTGGGTCCATCCATGCCTGAAGCCATCCCTGGACTCTTCAGTAGCATAAGTCAACATCCCTGTTATTCTGTTTTTCTTTAAGCTAGTTTGAATTAGCTTTTCTTTTCTTTGCACACACTGACCTTAATTTTAAATCAAAACCAGAAAATACTCAGCCTTTAATACATGGCCTTTAAACAAAGAGGTCCACCTTCCAAGGCCCCTGTTATGATAAGCGTAACAGAGAAGTATGGGTTTTCCCTTCCCAGGTGTGTGGTCCTTACCTCCATGGCCGTGTGCGTTTCTGCTTTGGTTCCCTCAGGAGCAGCAGCGCTTGCGTGGAATTAACCCAGGAGTGCGGCGCGAACACACCTCCCTATGGGCCCGGCCCCAGAACCAGAGAACGCGAGACCAGCTCAAGAGGCTGATGGGCTTTGATTGGCTGCTCACCGCAGGTGGGCCCAGGCCTGGGCTTTCCCACAGGGCAAGTGCACTTATCTGCAAAACCTCCCTCTCAGCTAGAAACGTCATCTCCATTCCATACCAAGGAAATGGCTCAGACAGGTGCAGCGCCCTGTCCCCGGTCCCACGGCTGGTTCACTGCCCTGGCTGGCTATCAGGCTCCAGGTGAGAACATCTATCCAGGGGGCCTGGAATACCCACGTTGAATCGGTCACTCACCTTCACCCTGGACACTACCAGGTCTGAGCCCATCACCCCCCCACCCCCTCATCCGTCCCCCCCGGGAGCACTGCTTTTCCACGGACACTGGCCCTTCCGCTCTGCAACTCTCCAATGCTCTAACTCCCCCAGCCGTGCCCCCTTTGCCTCTCGCCCTTCCCACTGTGCTCTTGGGACTCACGGTCCACCCTCAAATCCTCCCACCCAAAGCCCGTCCTCAACAGTCCTCTCACCTTCTTCCCCCAGCAGAGACCTGGATGACCCCACCCCCACCGGCGACACGTCCCTGCAGCCCCTCGAGATGCTGCTCCATCGTTTAAATCTCCTCCCGTACCTCGGCTCCCCGATGCTCATGGGCTGTCTTGTCCTCCTTGCTCCAAAAACTCTCTCCTCTCCTCCACCTTCTCCTGAGCACCCACCATTCGTGCGGGGCCTGCATGTGCCCTGGAGCCCCTACCTGGCGGTGCATGTCCTCAGCAATTGCTTCAGGAGCAGGAACTCGGTGCTTGCGTGTGTTTGTGCCCCACGCTGCCCCAGGGAAGCGATCTGAGAGTCTGAGATGCAGATCACCAGCAAAAGCTGGAGTCGCCAGCCTCCCCGTTGACCATGTTTCTAGACTCTCATGTGTCCAGATGCCACCTTTGTCCAGACCCCACCATCACTCACCAGGATCCCGAGAGGGCAGCTGGCTGGGCCCCTGCTCCTGTGCACACTGCCCCCACCCACACCCCGCTCCAGTCTATTTCCGGCCTGGCAGCTGAGTGACCCAGTAGGAGTGCTAAGCCAGACCACGTCACCTCGGCCAAAGCCCCCCCTGGCACCCATCACAGCGGAGGGGCCGAAGGACATCTGATCACCTCCAAGACCCTTCCTGAGCCGGCCTTTCCCCTTCCCCTCTGCCCTCATCTCCTTCCACGGCCCCGCCCCTCTCCACCGCAGCCACGCCGGCCACCTGGCTGCTCTGTGAACGCCCCAGGCATTTTCCCGCTTCAGGGGCTTTGCGCACGGGGCCGTCCCCTCTGCGAATGTGCCGCCTGCAGACGTCTGACGGCCTCGCCTCACCTCCTTCAGAGCCTCCCTGACCACCTACTGCCTTTCCTGCCCCCACCCCAGTCCTACTCCCCCCGGGACGTCACGTGCCTTACCCTCTGCCCACCACCTGCTCCCTCCACTGGGAGGTGCTCCTGGAGTGTGGCTCAGTGCCGTGTCCCAGACCCCGGGACAGCGCTGGCCCTGGGGAAGTGCTCGAGGAAAGCTTGCTGATGAGTAACTGGAGCAACAAATTCAAACAGGACACCTCCTTCGCTGCCCAGGTTCAAAGCTCAACAGCGTCATGTAAACGGGACACCAACAATACTTTTTAAAGATAACGCAGTTTGCACGAGTTGTGTGCCAGAGTGTGTGTAGTTGCTCAGTGACTTTGGTTTATATTTACTGACGAGGAGGAACAGGGTCAGGTGACAAAAGCAAGCTGTGGAGTGATGTGTACGAAGTGACTATTTTTTTACAAAAACAAACACACAGCCCAGTCCCTGACGGTGTGTTTGCATGCACGGGAGTGAGAGGAACGCAAGTACACCCCGGTTGCAATTTTACCCGAGTCCAACTGGAGGGGCGTGCAGGGGAAAGAGGAACAGCCTTGTATATGTACTGCTGGATCCCGATGGCAAATGCTTCACAATAAATCAGGTATATCACGCACTGGGGAGGAAGCGAGGGAGCAGGACTCCCATTCTCCGCCAGCTGGAGTGGAAATCAAGGCAGCTACTTTGAAGAACTAGCAGGTGTATGTTGTTGCTGTGTGTGCGTGTGTCACGTGTATTCTCATTCTCCACGATCCCATGCAGAACGCACAGAGACGCCACAGTTACCGCCCATGGACGGAACGCGACCCGCTCTCTAACCCGAGCTGGTGGCATCTCCCAGGGCTGCCCTCCCACAAAACCTCACCCTGCTGCCGGGTGACAAAGCCACCCAGGGCGTGGTGGATACAAGCAGTCAGTTCACAAACACAATAGATAAAACCAGCAAAAAGGCTGCAGCAGCTGCAAATGTGTCAGGCAAAATGGTTTTCCTGGGGCGCACGTAAGAGCCACCTGATGGCTAATAGCTGTCACTTGGGCGGAAGGGGCCGTGAGTGAAGCCCAGCGCTGGCTTGTCCCCAACGCAGAATAACTGCTCCTTACACCGTGCCCACAGCAGAGTAGCGAAACCCCTACTAATCCACGCCTGTGTCCAACTCACCGTGATCACTGTTAAACCAGTTCCTTCGCTTCCTAACGAGAGGAGGCTCTTCTAAATGTTTGTTAAGCCAGTACCTTCAACATTAACACCTGATGTCCTGTCTTTCAACGCCGGCAACGATTAGGCCTCAGAGCCACATAAATGAAAGATAAGTCGCAAAATGCTTGGGTGCCAAAGCTCAGCCAGTTCCCCGGCCTGAGAACGGCACTGAACGTGGGCCCCGGACGAGAAGCCGACACCCCGGGCGGCCGCGCTCGTGCGAGCAGTGCAGCCAGGGGCTCCTCGCCCAGGTACAGGTGTGGCTGCCGCGTCGCTCACCCTCGGCGCTCCACGGCCAACAGGAGAGACAGAGCTCGCCTGCAGTGGCTGTGCTCAGGACCAGAGCCGCCACAGTCACGGCCACTTACCTGAGGCCGGAACAAGTGCTGAGGCTGACCGTGGAATCGGGATATGCTTGCACGTGCCCGTGGTAGTAGCAATGACCCTAAAGGGGAGGAGCGGAGGAAGCTGGGTCAGTCATTACATCCTTTTGCTCACTTATAAAAAAAAAATCACCTGCCTCTAATCCTCTCCGTGTGTTTTTATCTATAGAATTTCCTTTTACACGAAATACTGCACCAGCCGTCTTAATATTTAATGCAAAGCCCAACGTCCCCCAGCCAGGATCCACAGCAGGAATATCCGATTTACTTGGAGACTAGCAATTGGGCTTTCAAATGCACCCCAGTTGCACTCGTGTCTCTCTGACACCCTACAAGCAAGCCCTGATGCAGAATGTTTCATAAACTCCAGCAGCAGAACAGATCACACTGGCATCACCATTTCACCCTCATGCAAATCGTCTTCTGTAATGAGACGAGGAACTGCAGGGGGTACTTAAGCACACTGTGAGATATGGTATGACAAGGTCTGAATGGATGGCTTAGGAAAACAGGCAAGCAGATGAGAGGAAGGGGGCTGGTGAAGAAACAGAGAGGGGACCTCGCTGGATTATCCCACTGAGAGCTGAAAGTCTATCTCAGCAGGAAAAAAAAAATACAGGAAAATCTTCTAAGTCTAAGACAAAAATCCCTGTGTGACATGCCTCGGTGTCCTAGTCTTTCCTGACGTCACTGCTTACAAAAAGAAACCACAGCACGGACGCTTCCTTCGTGAAGACAGATACCTGCCCTGAATCGAGGTTAATTTCACTGTTGAACAAAGGTTACGCTGCAGCCCCAATTAGGTGGCCGACTGCTCAGGGCTCCTCACCCAGGTCCCCTGAATGCCAGCTGCATGCGGGGTCCCCACAGGGAAAGGGCTGCATCTTCTAAGGGGAAAGAGAAGTGGACACTTGGGCTGTCCCCACTGCGCCCGGCTCAGCACACGGCTCCTCCACTCGAGACTGTGGTGACTCACTTTCCAGGGCAGGGCTCAGCGTCCGGTTGTTCTGCCCAACGAAGACTAGCCTGACTGCGCTGAGCAGACGGACCATGTGGAATCGAGTGATGGAGGAAAGAAGGTAACACCAGGAGAAGAGGGCTAAGATGACCTCTTTGTCACAAAGTAGAGGACAGAATTCTGGGATCATCTGAAAGTCAACAAAAGCATGGTGATGGGAGGGCCGTAGGGATGTTTACTACTTCATTTGTTTTTTTCTTATTTGTTTTAGAAGTTCTTTATATATTCAGGATAGTAATGCTTTGCCTGTTGTTATGTGGGAAATGTCTTTTAACATTGTCATACCTTTTGTTCTTATTTTTATAAATTTACATGTACCCATCTTTCTCTTTATGCATTTTGTGCATAACTTAAGGTGGCTTTTTTCAAGTCACAAATATGCCCTTTATTTTCTTCTGTTTTTATAATCTTACCACGAGCCCTTTAATCCACCTGGAATTTATTGCTGTGAAAGCGTGAGGTTGGATGCCAACTTTCTCCTACACATAAGAACCGGCTGAGTTCTACCACTGCTTCTCCTCTTCTCACCCATGGGACGTGCTACCTTGACATACACTCAAGACCAGGGGTCCTCAAACTTTTTAAACAGGGGGCCAGTTCACTGTCGCTCAGACTGTTGGAGGGCCAGACTATAGTAAAAAAAAAAACAAAACTATGAACAAATTCCTATGCACACTGCGCATATCTTATTTTGAAGTAAAAAAACAAATAGGCAAAAACACCCGCATGTGGCCCGTGGGCCGTAGTTTGAGGACACCTGCTCCAGACAGACGATGTGTTTGTGGCTCCACTTGGCACTACCTGTGCTCGCCACTGAGATGGACACCCGTTTATCTGCTCCTGTGCCAATTCCACACTGTTCCAATTACTACTGCTCTATATGGCACTTGATATCAGATGGAGCAAGTCATTTTTAAAAAATTAAGATTAAATGCACATATCATAAAAGTCACATTTTTTAAAGCATACAGTCTGTGGGTTTTAGTATATTCACATTGTTGTGCACCCATCACTGCTATGATTCCAAAGCATTTCTATCGCCCCAAAATGAACCCCATATTCATTAGGATTCACTTCCCGTTCCCCCACTTCCAGCCTCTGGCAGCCACGAATCTACTTTTTGTGTCCATGGATTTGCCAGTTCTGTTCATCTCATACAAATGGAACCATAAAATACGTGCCTTTTGTGGCTTCTTTCACTCAGCATGATGTTTCCAAGTTCATTAATGTTGTAGTGTGCATCAGAATGTCACCCCTTTTTATGGCCGAATCACCTTCCACTGGGTGGATAAGACCGCTTTTGCTTATCCATTGGTCAGTTAACGGATATATGGGTTGTTTCTGCTTCTTGATTATTATGAGTAAGGCTGCCATGAACATTGGTGTGTACGTTTTTGTGTGGACATATGTTTTTGTGTAAGTTTTTGTGTGGACACATGTTTTCAGTTCTCTCGAATATATAGTACAAGTGATATCTGAGCATATATCTGTAAGTGAAACTGCTGGATCGTACAGCAACTCTATGTTTAACTGCTTTCCGGAGCAGCTAGACCATTTTACAGCCCCATAAGCAATAATGAGGGTTCCAATTTCACGTTATCACCAATACTTGTTATTGTTTATTCTTTGATTATAGCCACCCTGGTGGATGTGAAGTGGTATTTCGATGTAGTTTTAAATTTTCTTGATGACTAATGATGGTGAGCATCTTCTCATATGCTCATTGTCCATTTGTACATCTTCTTTGAAGAAATATCTATTCAAATCCTTTGTCTATTTTTTGTTGGGCTACTGTCTTTTTGTTGTTGAGTTGGAAGAGATCTTTATATATTCTGGATAAAAGGCCCTTATCAGATATATGATTTGCAATTATTTTCTCCCATCTTGTGGGTTGTCTTTTCAATGTCTTATTGGGTCTTTTGAAGTACAAATTTTTAAATTCTGATGAGGTCTACTATACTTAGTTTTTGTCCCTGGTTGTTTATACTTTAGGTGTCATATCAGGAAACTATTACCTAACTCTAACCAAGTCATGACGTTTTATACCTATGTTTTCTTTTAAGAGTTTTACAAGTTTAGCTCTTACATTTATATCTTTAATCCATTTTGGATTCACTTTTACATACGGCTTAAACTACAAGTCCAACTTCAATCTTCTGCACATGGACATCCAGTTGTTCCAGAATCATTTGTTGAAACAACTATTCTTTCCCTCATTTAGTTGTCTTGGCAAACTTATCAAGAACAAGTTCTTTTGGTACTGTTCTTTTCCCAAAAGTTTCTAGGCTATAATTACTGCCTATTTTCTCTTTCAGATGAATTCTAGAATCAAATTTTTTTTTTTTTTTTTTTTTGAGACAGAGTCTCGCTTTGTTGTCCAGGCTAGAGTGAGTGCCGTGACGTCAGCCTAGCTCACAGCAACCTCAAACTCCTGGGCTCGAGCGATCCTTCTGCCTCAGCCTCCCGAGTAGCTGGGACTACAGGCATGTGCCACCATGCCCGGCTAATTTTTTATATATATATCAGTTGGCCAATTAATTTCTTTCTATTTATAGTAGAGACGGGGTCTCGCTCTTGCTCAGGCTGGTTTTGAACTCCTGAGCTTGAGCAATCCGCCCGCCTCGGCCTCCCAGAGAGCTAGGATTACAGGCGTGAGCCACCGCGCCCGGCCTAGAATCAAATTTTAAGCTCCATGATAATCCATTGAGATTTGAGCTTGTACTACATTGAAGGCACAGGTCAATTTGAGAAGAACTTCTCTCTTCACAATAAGGAGTGCTCCCATTCCTGTATGTGGTAGGTGTTTTCCTTTTACTATAGTTAATTTTATGTCCTTCAGTCTAGTTTTACTTTTTTTTCCCATGTGGCTACTGGAAAATGTTGAGCTTATATATAGGTATTATATAGATTTGTTGCTATGAATAGGATCTTTTTTCCTATTATGTCATATACATGGCTATTTTTAATGTAAAGAAAGCTTTTGATTTTATAAGTTGATCTTGTATCACACACTGTTGCTGGGTCATCTTATCAGTTTAATACTTTGTAGCATATCTTGGATTTTCTATCTTATGGATCATGTCAATTGCAAAAAATAAACATGAAAACATTGCAGGCTTTTCCTTTTTCTTCTTCTTGGAGACAGGGTCTCCCTCTGTCATCTGGGCTAGAGTGCAGTGGTGTCATCATAGCTCACTGCATGCAGGCTCTGTTTTGGATCCCCCGCATGACACTGAGGAGTGGGAAGACTTGGTGTCCAGGGACCAAGGCAGGAGAGGGAGTGGCCCGCAGAGGGAAAGCACTGTGCACAGGCAGCTCAGGGACGGGGCAGGTCCTGCTCGGCTGGAAGATTCAGGTGCAGGAGCGTGGTACTCACAGCACCCTATTCTTCCCCTGGTGAAGCTGCCCTCTACAATAAGCAGGTGGCGGCTTAGCAAAGGATGCCTGGGGAGCAGTCGGGACAGGCCGCCCAGCCAGCCACTAGGCATCCACCTGGGCCACTGGGGAGGGGAGACCTTGCCACCAGCTTTGCCTCCTTAACCTCTGTGTGAAATAAATTTTGGGCAGTTCCAGGGTCCCCTCCCTCTAGACAACAGTTGGGTACTTAGGAGAGGCACGGCAATAACTCCCCAGCCATGAGGAGATCACGTAATTGGATTGTAATGTCCCAGAACATGGGAGGGGTCCTGGCCCCCTCCCAGACCCTACTACACAGGGTCAGGATTTTAGCCTGGGCACATGGCAGCCTTGTCAAAGCTGAAGATGACTCGGCGAGTGAAAGGTTGGTGGCTGCTCTGAGAGTTTTGGCTGCCTGGGGTGACCAGAATGACTGGGTTTTGACTATTATAGATCCTTGGGGTCCCATATGTTGCAGGATTTGCCCCATTTTAGAGAAATGTGAAATGCTGCTATGAGCAGCTAAATACTGGGTAAAAAATTAAAAACCAAATGGTAACAATAATCCTAATTACTGACCTCTGAAATTTCAAACTCATTTATTCTCAATCTCAATTTATTTTTAATAGATTATTTATCAAGTGTACT